CAGGCCCAAGGCGCAGAAAAAGACCTCAAATAAATCACCAAATAAGGTATTATTCATAGGCACCTTGTAATAATCATATATTCTTTTTATTAAGGCTTTAATGGTAGTAAATTGCTTGCTATATGTTCATATAAAAAAAAATTAGGATATATATATATATATGTATATATATGTATATATAGATTAGATATATACAATGGATTATGGCTAAATTATTGTTCTGTGAGGATACGCTTAAATTGGTGTTTAGGTGTAATGGCAAAAGATGTTCAGTAGTTTCTAATTCAGATGCACAATAAATCAGGAAGACCGGTATGGTATCAGCTCCTTCTTTATGATGCTAGGACATTTAAATCCGTATATGCTAACAATGCTTTCTGTTCTTGACTATAGAGGAGTTCTGGCCCGGAAAGGAGGTCCTCTAACCAAGGGGAAGAGGAGTCAGAATCTGGGACTGAGGAATATGATGACGATGATGAAGACAAGCATGCAGAGGAGCATCCGCCGCCACCAGCCATGTCATCCTGGTCCAGTGACCATAATTACATTGCAGTAACGCCAGAAAAGACTACACCCATATCAGCATCTGTGTTAAACAAAACGTGTATGTATCTCTCTGAGGGTTTTCCACATTTTTTTGACCTGTCTCTACCAATGATGGGTGTGTTGAACTGTCAAGAACAACAGATTCACAAATTAAAAAAAGCAGCTCTTTTCTGGTGAAAATTGGATTGAAATTATTGAAATTATGTGCCTTTAAAGGGATATTAGTGCTGGAAAATGTTAGCACAGCTATAATTATGAATTTTCTAAGTTGGACACCCCGTGCTACATCTTAAAATATTTTGTCAGTGTTTTTATGCAACACTGCAAGATGCTAATATTTGGAAAGTATCTGTATCAGGTCATTCAGAGCTCCAGAACAGGTAAGTTTAAATAATATCAAAATGGTAAGTATTTAACATCTAAAATGCATAAAGACTATACTTTACAGTCTGTAACTAAGTATTTAATCTACTTAATACGAATAAATTTAGTTTTGCACCAAATAAGTGATCTAAAAATATAGATCCTAAGGATCTGAGCCCAGACTGTAGTGCCTTGCCATGATACACTTTTGTAAAGCTTTCTGACCAACATCTACAAAGTATATATGCGTGTTATTTTGAGTCTCTCAATGAATGGAATACCATTGCCATTTATCTCCAATCCCTGCCACCATCGGGGCAAAAGCTTCATCCGAGAAGATGTACTGACTGCACGGCTGATCAGGTAGGTTTGGTGTCTTTTTCTCCTGCCCTCCTTCCCCGACTAAGAATAGAACAACTTTGATCACATGGACGTTTGACTACGTTGCTGTTATAAATTAAGTCATGTAACATTTTAACTAACAGTTTTTAATTTGATATTCCTTTGACTTGCATGCACTGCATTTATAAATCCTCATTGGACAAAGTGGCATTCAAAATAAAGTGAAATTGCGGATAATACTCTTCTGGCCCTG